TGCGCCTCACACGCTGGCCTCACACGTTGGTCTCACATGTTGGTCTCACACTCTAGCCTTACATGCTGCGCCTCACACACTGCACCCACATGCTGGCCTCACACACACGTTGGTCTCACACGCTGGCCTCAAGCTGCCATTGAAGTCAAGTCTGCTGTAGCTACGGGAACACATGGAACAGTGCTTGGCGTCCATTTTTTTTTCCTTTAAAAGGGCAGATTTATTAGTAAAAGGTGAAAGTAAAAATTGCAGACACCTGCGCAGATCCGGTGGGCAGTCTCGGGACCGACCGGTGACGACCTGGACGTCCTACCGGCCTGGCGGTGAGGGGTTGGTTTAACGCGCGCTGTGTGCACTCAGGCCAAGGCGTGGCTTTCCAAGGCCACATGAGCGGCAGGCGTCGGCCACTGCCGCCCTCGGAAGGCGACTCCACGTCTCCTCTAAATGTCACGGCTGTGACTCCATCCCAGGCCGGGCGGTTCACTGCAGATTGGGGCAAAAGGAAAAAGACGCCTGGGGGCTCAGACGTTGCCTTTAATGCCGAGGAGGTGACCGACACCCAGGCAGGAGGCAACAGCAGGCCCCGGAGCCGGCGTCCCACCACCCGTCAGGGCTCGACTCCCCTTTATACCGCGTGGGGCGGCCAGCCGAGTGCTCGGGGTTACATGCAGGAGGCGCCGCTGTGCGTGAGACAGGTCACGGTACCTGTGCGCTTTCCAGGCGTCGGCATCTGACGTCCCGAGGACGGAAGAGCCCGAATTACCCCATGTTCCTTACACCTCTTTACAGTAATTGGGATACACGTATGTAAGTATGTGGAACGCATCCAAGCAGTAGCATAGTAATAACAACAATAATGCCTGCAGATCCTCCTGGCACAAAGATATTTTAAGCACAAATGTTCACAGATGTTAATATTTTAAACCACATTTTATTTTATTTTTTAAAAACATTTATTTATTCATACAGTACTGGGGTGTAGGCCAGAGGGCCAGGGGTGGTGAGGGGTTTCACCAGAGACACAGTGGGGAGCAGAATGGGCAGATGGACGAAGTACACTGCTGAGGGGAGCAGCGGGCGGTGAGGAGAGGTCTGCTGCGTCCTGTGGGGTCATCTCTGGGGTGGGGATCGAACTCACACTGAAGCAGTTGTGGCTAGTTTGCAGCGCTGCGCTTCAACCCACTGTGCCACCAGGGAGGGCCAACTGAACCACTTTTTAGAAGCTAATGAGACAATAAACACAGAAAGTTAACTGTCATATATGTATATATATATAGTGTGTGTATATATATATACATATATATATATGTCATATATATATTGTGTATATATCCACACACACATACACACACCAACATTCAATCGCAATTAAGATTGTTGCCAATAAAATCTTAAGACAAAACCATGACTATAGAATCACTAGATTCAAGGAGTGTAGACACCTTCAAGGAAAATATAAGCGTCTTTAAATGTCTGTAATGTTCAACCAAAGGAGAAACTGGTAAGTCCACTGATTTTAATAGGGGAATTAAACCAGTGAGCAGTCAACAAAAATAGAAAGATTTTCGCTAACACAAAGGTAGTTTCAATGATCACTCAGATTTGAAATGGAAACGGGTGACCCCCTGGCTGAGGGGCTCACGGTCATGGGCAGGCTCAGTGGGGGTGAAGTTGCTCACAGAAAGAGGAGTCACAGGTGCTGACTATTTAGGTTCCGCTGGTTGA